CCGGCAGCGACTCTCGTCCGTTTATCGTCGTTCTGTACGCGCTGCTTGTGGCTCGAAACTACAAGATGACGTCATGCCGCTGTTAGCTAGATTGTCGATTGATCCGTTTGAACATTACCTTATTCGTAGCATTGCTAAATTTATCCATGTTAATCATGTCGTTTTCCCTCTCCCAAATCTGACGGACCTTTTCCCTCAAGTTTCAACCGGCCCTAGGACAACAAGAAGCTCTTTTAATGCTGCTATTGCAATATCTAAATTCCGGACGACTGACGGTGTCAATTCCTTTTCAAATCGTGCTGCCCTGTTCTTTAATTCTTTGCCTGTGGAGTGGCGCACCCAGCACCGCACTACATTTGCTAAGCACCTTCAGACCATGCTAAAAGACGCAGCGTCTTTTCAGAAGTATTTTGATCTTCTTTTCAGCAAACTCCCTCATTGATCTGCACCGCCTGTATTGTATAACTGTGTTTACTGCGTTCCTAGTTTAAATTCGTTTTTAAAAACATCTCTTTAATTCTTGCATTATCCCATTATGACCATGCTTAAAGACTTTTCAGAAGTATTTTGATCTTCTTTTCAGCAAACGGCCTCATTGATCTGCATCGCTTGTATTGTATACCTGTGTTTACTGCTTACTGCTTACTGCTGCTTTATTGTTCCAAGTATCAGTTTAGTTTAGTTTAAATATCTCTTTTAAAAGTCTTGTTAGGCCAAACTAAAGAAGGTGTGTGGTTCGACTCACCCGACCGACCGTACAATTTCAGCCCGACCGTAACTTTTTTTCGGCGGGCTGTCGTGTGACTGACGTACGTACGTGGACTGAACACGTCCACGTCTACGTGCTGTGCGGCGTGAGTCTGCGGACGCAGGCGGCTCCTTTTGGACTTGACTTGTACTTGTAGTTGTACTGCAGTGCAGTGCAGTGAGTGGTACGACTGCTGCCTTGTGCTGGTAGTAGAGTCTACTCGATACGCGTATACAGTGTATTTACATGTACTAAAAATATATATTTAAAAAAAAAAAAACCGCCCGCCCGCCCGTAAAAAAAATGTCCATGTTAGTCGAACCACACACCTTCTTTAGTTTGGCCTTATTATTATTTTTTCTCACCCCACACCCCTCTACTCTGTTATCGGCCCTCTTAAGAGTTGTGTTCATCACTGTTGAGGCTTCCGATGGAAAATAAAAGAATACTACTACTACTACTACACCTAGTTCAAACAGTCACAGGTGAGACATTTCCTCCTTCCCTTACCAGCTTGCTGGCTAGTCAGTTCAACGACAATCGACCCCAGTTGTGATTGTTTACAACAATCAGCTTTTGTGCGATTTCAGTGGTGAACTTTTGACCGGCTCCTCGGCCACACTGGGTGTGTTCGATTACAGCCATTAATTGATTCATGAATGGAATCTTGTCGTTGGATTTCATGTCATGTAGCCCTGGAATCAGTTTGGAATCCATTCACCCTAACATGGGGTGATGTGAATAGCCAGGGACGATTCATGAATGGATTCAACATCGTTTCGCGGTCATAACTCAATCGAACGCACTCACTCTTTCCGCTTGCGTGACCAGTTGAGTTCCGACACTGGAACGTCACTTGATACTTGCTCATGGTACCACTTGAGCTGTTTGTACACAACAGTTACCTTGAGATTTAGAGAAGGGAAGGCTGGGCAGGGCGGCGCAAACAGATTCTTTGTCAGCGGTCTACCTCCCGTGAGTTCTGCGGAATGAAGAGTGACGTCCTTTTGATTGGGGTCTTCATGTCCTTTTGTCCGGTGCGCACAGTAACTGGTGTTGTTGGCGGTGATATGCTTTTCAGCACACGAGCGGCTCTATCCCTAACTTTTTCTTTCTTGCCAGGCATATTTGCAATCCCTCTGCGCCAAGGAACGAACCACAATGATTGTTAAGAAGGCTCTGTTCCTCATTTCTCACTTCGGTGTCGTGCACCTGTGCGTGTGTTCTGGTGACATCCTGTCAAGACAGGGCTATACTTCTTAAATTTTTCGAAAGGACTCCACGCATATCGGAGGTTCTAAGCCTATCAGAGTAATATGTGTCACCATGGCTACCCTATCTGGGGGGGGGGGGGGATAGATCACCGACATGTGTGTCTAATGCCTATAGAAAGATCATAAACAGAACACTAAAACGCTATCCGAGTTCAAAACCCCATGTAGAAGTTTTGCTTATCAACGGAGAAAGTAAATTAAAAAATCATAGTACTGGTAGTGTTCTCAGACTGTTCTGTTCACTGAGCAATGATAGAGAGATAAGTTCACGTTAGAAAATAATGCCCTGGTTCCAGGTATTACAAACAAGAATCCTGGGCTTATCTCCTACCAGCGGTTGTGCTAGAACTCTACGACTAGTACGACTAGTAACAAAGTTATGTTCCACTGATAGCGGATTTTCAACGATGGTGTTCAACTTGATCACTATCTTGACCTAGTGAGATCTTTTGGAGGTAATTGAATGATGGCTGGTAGCCTCGGGCTCAGGATTTCCATGGATATGTTCGAATCTATGACCGCCGCCAAAGTACCTTGCAATCTTCGCTCTCCAAGTACTACTGTACTGAGCCTAAGTTGATGATTTCGTCTGGAAATCTATAATCTCTGGGGAATGCTGCACTATACCTGCGGAGTAGCAATGAGAAAAACTGACTCCGACTACAGCAATGTTTCCGATTTCAAAGGAAACTGCCTAAGAAAAACAACGCTTCATCACCAGCTACGATGCAAAAACAACCCAGCAATAATCTAGTGACCCATGACAGTGCTTCACGCCGGTGGCACCTGCATTTCTTGTAGATCTACAGAATCATCATGTAGATCTGGTTATAATCTCAGGACTGTCCATCTAACTGAACCCACAGCATTGTGTATTCCCAGTTTGAGCTCTGAATACGATTGATGTGAGTGTATGTACGGGCTGATCATCTGTAATGGCTTCCTACTTGCGCTTGTAAAAAAGTACAGTACAGCTATAATACTGCACAATGAAATACGGTTGTGTCACTCAAGTTTGCGCCTTGCACCTTTCGCAGCCCAGTGATCAGTGCAGGTCTAGGGTTGCGGACCGCCCGGCGCGTACTTGAGTTACCCGACTGGATTCCATTGAGCAGAACAGTCGTGGCCAAAGAAATCCGACCCGCAAGTCAAAAGTAGGGCCGCGTTTACATTTCAATTACAGCATGCATGCTCACAAAAGCTGATGCGAGGGCCGCAGGGGCCGCATGAGCCTTGGCGCTGCTTTTGGCACGTGGGTTGGATTTCTTTGGCCACGACTGTAGTTTCATGCATGTTCAACGAGTTCTCCCCCTCCCCCCCCCCCCCCCCCCCTCCACACACGCACGCACGCACGCACACACAGTGAGTGCGTTCGATTATGCACGCGAATCGATTCGCGAATCGATTCATGAATCGATTCGCGCTATTCACATCACCCCATATTAATAGAGTGAATGGATTCCGAATCGATTCTAGGGCTCATGACATGAAAATCGAACGACTTGAATGCATGCGAATGGATTCATGAATTGATTCAAGTGTGTAATCGAACGCACTCAGTGACACACACACCTTCCTACGCCACTGTAGTCAATGTGAACACTTACCGGAGGACGAGCCAAGTGTTGACTCACGATCTGCCGACATTGGCTTCGCCGGATGCTCAGTTTTCCCACTGGCAGTTGCACCGCGTCGCTTAGCCATGGTGCTGGCGACATGTTCCGCTACATCACGCTGGCTGTGTTGAACGAGCCTCAGGAACGTATCCACCTGTTCCTCCGTTTTCTTCAGCATCAACCTCACCACATACTCTGCCAACTTCAACTTCTCCTCCTTGGCAGGTGCGCCAATATATTCCTCTTCGTCCAGAACATCACTCTCTAGTAGGTCTTCTAAGATTGTTGAAGCATCTAAATTTGCAAATAAGTACTTGATGTTGTATTTCACACTGTCCGGCATTGCGCCGTTAGGAAAAGTTGAAAACCCTCACCACCAACCACTCCGTCACGGCCTCAGCCAACGCTGGCAGGAGTGAATCGTTCTGTGGACCACAGTGAACAATGGAGAACAGACACCGCACACAACTACACGACTGACACAATTCAACAGCAACCGACCGACAGAGAAAAATGCGCCGAGAAAAATAACAATAATTATTGATCATGATCTACCGCAGTACCGGTATACCGGTAGATCTACCGGTCCTTTGAAGTAGATCTACATAGCATGACTAGCAGGAGTCGTGAAAACCCTTTCACTACTCCTGCTATGTACAGTGCTGGCAACTGAAATCCGACCCCCTGGGCTGCGCGCCGCACCTCCCAGGAGGTCGGATTTCAGTTGCCAGCACGGTAGTAGTCTACCATTGAAAGGCTGTAGTCTGTTCCTGCGGGAAATTGCGGAAAAAACTCTCGAAAACTTGCGCAAGAAATTGCGGCAGAAAACAACAAAAATGCGACGAAAAGTGCGGAACGATGCAGAACTTGCCAGGAATTCGCGGAATTATTTACAGAAAATTGCAGATTTGGGCCAAATCACGCAATTTGTTGCATCGTATATCTACTCGGGAGTAGTACGAGTGCAAATAACCTACAGGATCATGGAAAGTACTGCGTGAAAAGTGCAGAAAAAGTGAGATATAGTGCAGAAAACAACAAAAAACGCGGGAAATCCCGGATTTTGCTGAAAATCGCGAAATTTGTTGCATCCGTGGAATCGCGATTTCCTGGAGGGACAGTGTAGTACTACAATTATGTAGTACAGTTGAACATCGATTATACGCACATCGACTATCCGACCATTCGATAGTAGAATGATAATGTAGATCTACATGATTTATGTCTCTTCAGTCATAATGATGTCTGTATAATGATTATGTCAGTGTTACGCATGCGCTCTGTCCGTTGGACTTGGACTTGGAGTAGGTGTAGGTGTGGGAAAGACGGGACGTTTGGTGGTGGGTTGGCATGGCAATGGTAGTTGTGTTCGCTTTTCTCGCTTTTGCTTCAGTTTCGCCCAGTTTCGCCGAGCAACCGGTGAAGGAGGCTGATGCGGCCATTGGTGGTGGCGAGTTTCGGATGATCGTGGATGCTTGTACAGGTCAATGACTCATGATCCGACGAAGTCCGAAGTAGATCAGTGGCTGGCTAGTAGTAGGGGTGAGCCAAACCAAGCACCGATTGGCAACTTGGAAAACCCATTCAAAGTTCAAACAAATTCAGACGTGTGTGAATGTTCAACATCAACACCGAGGCTGTCTGCTATGGTCTTGATCAACTGGAGGTAGGTTTGCAACTGGCTGACCTACCGATGATGATAGCAACGGTGATGGCGGACATGGATGGCAGACTGATCAGATGGCTGGCAACAAAGTCATCACATCTGTGCCGTGCGCACTGGTACATACCGGGATAGTGTGAGTGTGTGGGACTGGCGAGAACAGTGTTCGTTACGAGTAGAGGCTAACAACATTGAACTGGTAACGACGGTGTTGGTGAAGGGAGCGGCCGATATCTCCAACCTAACCTGGCGGCCGTACAAAGGCAGCATCATGAAGGCCAGCTTGCCTGACGAGTTCATCACCGCTCAGTATCCTGAACCGTTCCAGCAATGAGTGATGATAATGATGATGGAAGCACGGACAGGTGGCCAATGCCAAGCTGGAAGACATGTGTCCACCACTGAACGGCCTGGTCCAGAACAGAAAGGGGCAGCGTGTACGGTTGATTCATGCAGTGAGTGGTGTGACTGTCTAAATAAACACTGCACAGTTGCATCTACACATGTAGTTGAGTCAGGGTATCTTCACAAAGACGGAAGGAGAATGTGGGAAAGGGTTAAATTTCGGGAAGAAGTTTGGAGGGTGCCCGTGGCATGTGACTGATGGCGAATGTGGACTGCAAAATAACCTGTGTTGGTTGCAATATCCATTTCATGCCTAACACTCCACGCATAATGTCCACTACATTGTGAGAAAAATGCTATCCCTGCAAGGAACTGGTGGGGGTTGCATTTCACATTTGTTTTTTTCAGTATTTCGGGGTTGCCTCTCACGGAAATAAAATCTGAAGTAGGAAAGCCTCTCTCTCTCTCTCTCTCTCTCTCTCTCTCTCTCTCTCTCTCTCTCACACACACACACACACACACACATACACATTCTCTCTCTCCCTCTCTCTCTCTCCCTCTCTCTCTCTCCCTCTCTCTCTCCTCTCTCTCTCTCTCTCTCTCTCTCTCTCTCTCTCTCTCTCTCTCTCTCTCTCTCTCTCTCTCTCTCTCTCTCTCTCTCCCTCTTTTGCTTTGTGTTTCTCTAGGGCACTTCACATTCCCTTGTGGTATAAACACATCCACAAGGTTCACCACGATTGGACCGCGCCGATCAGCATCCGTCTGTCCTGTACTGTCACCCGGTCGAGCATTTCCTCTCAAACATATTACCGGTAATGGCTGGTCCCGTCCTGCTCGGCTCTCACTGTCTGCTGCTGCTGCTGTGGGCCTGCATCTCGCTGGCCTCCATATCCGTCGCACACTGTGGGGCGGCTTCCACCTGCCGTTCATGCCGTCCAACGAGTACCACGACTACCATCATGCAAAGTTAGTAGTGTAGTGTGTGCATTCTGCATTGATTGGTAGCTGTACTAATACCTTGCACATACATGGGAGGCGGTGAACGCAAAAATCTGACTTGAACCCCCCCCCCCTGATGTACCCCTAAAAGGAACCCCCCCCCCCCCCAATGTTCTGACTGCATGTATAAAGCCACTTGCTAACTTTTCGAAATTTGCACAGAAAAGAATACAGTCGTGGCCAAAAAATCCGGCTAATGCTATACCAGCTACCGGTAGCTGTACTGTGCATGGGCGGCATGCACTGCCACTGCTGCCAGTAGCTGTACTGTGCATGGACAGCATGCACTGCCATTGCTACGGTAGCTGTACTGTGCATGGGCGGCATGCACTGCCACTGCTACCGGTAGCTGTACTGTGCATGGGCAGCATACACTGCCACTGCTACCGGTAGCTGTACTGTGCATGGGTAGCATGCACTGCCACTGCTACCGGTAGCTGTACTGTGCAAGGGCAGCATGCACTGCCACTGCTACCAGTAGCTGTACTGTGCATGGGCAGCATGCACTGCCACTGCTACCGGTAGCTGTACTGTGCATGGGTAGCATGCACTGCCACTGCTACCAGTAGCTGTACTGTGCATGGGCAGCATGCACTGCCACTGCTACTGGTAGCTGTACTGTGCATGGGTAGCATGCACTGCCACTGCTACCGGTAGCTGTACTGTGCATGGGTAGCATGCACTGCCACTGCTACCAGTAGCTGTACTGTGCATGGGTAGCATGCACTGCCACTGCTACCAGTAGCTGTACTGTGCATGGGCAGCATGCACTGCCACTGCTACCGGTAGCTGTACTGTGCATGGGTAGCATGCACTGCCACTGCTACCGGTAGCTGTACTGTGCAAGGGCAGCATGCACTGCCACTGCTACCAGTAGCTGTACTGTGCATGGGCAGCATGCACTGCCACTGCTACCAGTAGCTGTTCTGTGCATGGGTAGCATGCACTGCCACTGCTAGTGCTTGTAATAGCCTAGTGAATGTCTCATGCTCTGCTGCCGGGACTGCACTCTGCAGTGCACAGTCTGTGCTGTGCTCCACTCGACTGCAGCAGGCAGAGTGCAGAGCCGCGGACTGTTTTAGTTGAGTGCTATGCTGGTAGACACTCTAATGACTGTAAATGCATGAATGCGATTGTGACAGGTACCATGCCACTGTATAGGTATCCATGGCATTGGCTGGATTTTTTTGGTGACGACTGTATTACTCCCCCAGTCCCTGCCCCCAACAACAGAAAAAGAAAATTTATTACTCCCTGTTTCCAGCAGTTCACTTGCATACCAGTGTCATGGTTGTTGTCTCTTCTGACCATGAATGTTCCTATAGGTATTGTCTGATTCTGATCCAATGCACTACAATGCCCTCAGTTTGATGTGTCTGCCATTCGATGATGCCGAGACCTCTGGTCAGTGTGCATGGCAGGCCTCACCAGCATCATCTCACTGCTGACTCCATGCTAGCCCCATGTGCCTGCCGGTGAGTTTGTGTACCTCGTATAATTATAAAAACTGTCATTATTTTTTGTTTATGTTGGCTGCTGCTATGCAGGTTCAACGAGAACTTTGGCATACTGGGAATCTTTGATTTGCTGCATGGCACGGACAGTCACTTCCGTAAATAAAAGTCGTACGAGCGCCATTCCATGCTACTTGCCACCACCCCAGCCAACGTTCTGATTCCAGACGAACCGAAGAAATGCCAGTAAAAAGGTTAAGTCGGCAGTGCATGTGCATGTGTGCATCCTCACTGCTGTTGCTAGTCTCCTCCCAGTCCACCCTTGACCGTCCCATTCTCCAGTTTCAATGCTAGTCTCCTCACAGTCCACCCTTGACCGTCCCATTCTCCAGTTTCAATGCTAGTATCATCACTAATCTACCTGTATATGTATTTTAGCATATCCACCATCAATACTGGTCACATGACAAATTACACTTAGCTACCGTGACTACTTCAAGGATGCCGCTGATAATATTTTTGTTCACACAGCCAATGATTTTTTGTGCCACATTCATTAGTGCCCTAGCTCGGCCCAATCTGTGTTCTATAATGGGTGGTTAACGACATCGCACTGTTCAATCCACCAGACTTATCAGTGTCGACTCTCATAGCTAATGTGCATTTTTCCGAGCCATCACCAAGAAGTTCTTTTTCTTTCTCAGCTAGGCCCGTTCACAGTTTGTTTCTATTTCAAGTTCCGTCCGTTCCACCATACTGGAAGCATGGAGAGGGACTTTATTGTGAATATTTTTAAGTTTATTACAAGCAAAATATTGGCTATGACATCACTACTACTTACCGGCTGTACTGCTATGGCATCACTAGTAGTTAACGACTGTACTGCTATGACATCACTACTACTTGCTCCCAGGTCACTCTAACTGTTTTCTGTACCCGATTACCGGTACTTAATTACGTCACTATTCAAGATGCTTTATACTTGAAGTACTGCATGAATGCTGACTTCATACAAAGTGTTAGGATATGAAACCAGAATCATATGCAGTCAACACGTGCCTGTACTGTCCCAGACCGGCACTGTAATTTGCTGTTGCCACCACCCCCCCCCCCCCCCCCCACCCCGAACACTGTGTGGCACTGCGCTCGTGGCAAATCCAAACTCAGGATCTGCTCATCCGAATCCAGAGCCTCAGAGGGCTCAGGTACCCCCACCCCAGCGGGCGTTACCATGCTCTTGTGCCTGCCCATGAGCACGGCCAGTAGTGATCTCTGGGTGCAGTATCGCCACAGGATCATGGTCTGTGACGTTTTCCACCTCCATTTATCTACACTTCAATGTACTGTCGTGGACTTTGTAATCCGTTGAGAAGTCAAGTGGCCACTGGGCGCTGAGCTTGCAGCCGTGAGCACTGCTGGTCCATTTTACAGTGTGTACGTGACCTATAGTGTGTGTACGTGCAAACAGAAGTAAGGGTGCCGGTCCCGTCATCCCATCTGATTTCAATGTTCACAACAGTACATTGTAGATCTTAACCATGGTAAATTTGATCATTACAACACTGCAGACTGCTGTGCATATTACTGCAGACTGCAGTGCATATTACTGCAGACTGCAGTGCATATTACTGCAGACTGCAGTGCATATTATTACTGATGCCGGTAACTGTTGTAACAAATAATTATTAATTACACTTAGTGACTGCATGCTTGTGTTGCTCGTGTTGCTCGTGTTGCTCGTGTTGCTTGTGTTGCTCGTGTTGCTCGTGTTGCTTGTGGCACACGACAGTCACAAGCAACACGAGGAGTAATTATGGTTGGTAGTTATCATTACGAAGGTAAACAAGAGAATGGCCCGAGCATGCCCAGAGCAACCAGGTAAGGGCCAACAGCCATGATGAGAGAATACCGTAGACATGCGCGAATGGAGATTATGTCGTACGAAGAAGCAGCGAGAGAGAAGCATGCAGCGACGGCATGTAAATGCAGTCTATAACAGTAACATAATGCAAAATACTGGCAGAGGTAGGATCCCGGTCATGAGCTTGTAATGAATGGGCACACTCTAGTTTGGCATGCTGTACCCTTGAGTATGTATATACTCAAATAACAAACACACACACACACACACACACACACGTGCATGCACATCCATGCGCACACCCCCCACACACACATACACAAACACACGCACACAAACACGTGTGCACGTGCCCACGCACGTACACACAAACACATTGAACCTGGGACACATTGCCATGTTCAGGCAGGATAGGTCCTGTGGTCTACTGAAAAGCCGGCCACAATTGGAAACGTGGAAGGGCTGAAGTCTGTGTGCTCGGGTCGAGCCATGGCTACATTCATGATGATTTTATGACTTGGCATGATAGCACACAACGGGTATTTCTTGCTTGTCACATGAATGTTAGCAGTGCTGCTAGATTTCAATACTGGAGTAAAATATGATGTGTATCTCAAAGATAGTAGCATGAACCTGTATGTACAGGGTATGGCTGACACTGCTATGGCAATATACATTGCAGTATAAACATTTGTAGAGTAGAGTTTTGCAGGTTTAACTGACATAGCGGTAACTATTCTGTACAGTGACTAGTGTAAAAACAGTAGGTGAGAGTAGACATGAACACATTCAGTAAAATTGATACCACAGTAGACTGGACTAGACAGTACATGTAGTTCAGTTGATCATTATATCTACATAGTAACACAACACTGTGTGTGTCATAGACAATCTGTATACATCATGTCTATACAAGTGATGTCACAGTGTTGTGATCAATGACAGGTAGTGTGCTGTTGGAGTATCTCTTACTGCAGTAGCTGCTGGAAATGATCCCTGTCCAGTGCTGGTCACTTTCACCAATCTCAACTGCTAAACACTATCCAATAGAGACCTTCATAAGCTCAGCTAGCCCTGGAGAGTGTACAACAGAGAGGGTGCACATACACCACCACACACACGCACCCAAACACAAGCCACCACACCAGCACACATACCAAACAACACACACACACAGGCAGAATCACACATTTACTTGAAGCTCTGGACATACAATTCGTCTTATGGATTGCATGCGTTGATGATATAATTAAGAATGAACTAAAGAAGTCTTTGTTATAATAATCATGACTCATAATGACATCATGACTGGAATCTACAGGCAACTTATGTACCCAATCTGAATAACATCAAGCTGTCAAACAGGTGACCGTATAACAGGATACGTTGCACACATACCACAGAAGTGACATTCCCTGCTAGGGCTTTTCCTGACATATTGAACCATTTGTTTTCCCCACGTACCCCTCTCCCCCCCCCCCCCACAAACACACATACCCACCCCTCGTCCACACTCACCAACATCCACACCCCTTGTCCCTCATAAACACTCCCCCCTTACACACATACATACCCCATTGTCCCTTACAAACACACACACACACACACACACACACCTTGTGACGCTTGTCCACGCACACACCCCTTGTCCCTCAAAATCACACCCACGACCCACAATCCCACAAGTATACACAGAAGCAAGCACGCACACCCGCCCGCCCGACCGCACGCACACACACACACGTACTACGACATTAGTCTTCTTGCTCACTGCCAAAACTGGTTACGTGGGTCTCCTGGGAGAGGGGAGAGAGACTCAAAAGGAATCTTGGAAAGATGACTCAATTGGCTATTTGAACCGCTCAACGGCAGACACCCCCTGAAACCCCCAAAACTCTGGGTGGACTTGGAAATGATCCCACTTATGGGCTCACCACACCTCAGTAAGTGGGTGAGGACAAGGTGCAGAAAAAGGATTGACGGCATCAGGGTATCCGTCCCGGGATCCAACACACACACACACACACACACACACACACACACACACACACACACACACACACACACACACACACTCGGGTCGCTAATCCTCAAATACACAATCATGCGGTTCATGTGTTTCTCATGCCTTGGTGCGATAGCACACATACACACACACACACACACACACACACACACACACACACACACACACACACGCGCGCACGCACGGGTGCACATGCTCTCAAGCACATACACACACTGAAAGACTCCCGCCTGTTCTATCAACCCATCGTTACAATGTCACATTGGACCCAGAAGGGGTCATACAGAGGGACAGTAGGAATATATCGTATGGGATCCTACAGAAAATCAAAGGTCTTGTGTGAGTACCCCTCCCCCCCCCTCCCCCTCCTACCATGGACTCATCGGTAGTTCACTCGTAATACTGAATCACTACCATACAAGTGCAGACACATACACATACACACACATGCACACACACACACATACACATACGCATACACACATACACATACACACATACACACTACTACTATGTACAACTGCCACAACATGGCCACGTCGCTCCCAGAAGCGGGAGACAACAGCGAGAAAGGAAAAGAAACAAGGAGAGTAATTGAGGTGAAAGGGGATCGTTCTACACACCGCTAGTGTTTCTGTCTTCGGGGGCGGGTGAGGTCCTGCGGGCGGGAGAATCGTTCGCTACATAGGCTGCCACACATACACACATACACATACACACATACATACACACATACACACACATACACACATACACACACATACACATGCACACATGCACACCAACACACACATACTCACATACACACATACACACACATACACACATACAACCACCACACCCACTCCCCCCCCCCCCCACCCCCACATCCGCACGCCCCCCCCCACACACATATTTGCCCCCCCCCCCCCCCCTGCTGGTCCTGCGATGGACTCTCGCCGTAGGACAGTCAGGTTCACTTGCTGTTGGTGCTGCATGGCGGTCGTCACTACCCCGCTTCCAGTAGGGTCTGGCCTGCTGGCGGCGAGGGGCGATACAGATCGAAGTAGAGCGAGGAGAAGCTGGGTGGCGTTGTCGACGGCAGTGGATGCAGCACGTTGAACTTCCAACAGAAAATCAAAGTCCACGAACTCACCTCTCTAGATCTCTGGAAACGAATTACGATCGTCAGGCTCGCGCCTGCTGTTGCAGTGTTGGTGCTGTGTGGCGCCGCTCGCTGCGTTCGCAGTAGGCGGGCGGCGGAGCCAGGTAAAGCGAGGAGCTCCGGAGAGGCTGAAAGCCGGTAGGTGACGACGACATTGTTTCAAGGCACAAACAAGGGGCGCTGAGATCAGAATTTGAAGCGTGGAGGTACTTCAGGAAACCTGATGCTGGCGCAAGCTAAAAGTCCACAGTCGGTCCACTGTGGACGACGACATTGTTTCAGGCACCAACAAGCGTTATTGAAGTCTGAATTTGAAGCGTAGAGATACGAGAATGCAAGCTCGATAGTCTAAACGGAAGGAAACTGTTTTGGAACACATGTTCCGCAAGTTGTAGATCTACGCTCTGAAGTCAAAACAGCAATGACATGCAAGAGACATTGTACAGGATCTTGAAGGGCTGGGCTGGCTGCTAACTCGCGATAGCATGCTAACGCTCATATGTTGCAGTGTAACACAAGATCAAGAATGGGAAGTAAAAAGAGGCAGTTCGAAAATAAGGCATGATGATGTTACGGATGATTAAAAGTTTGGTTCGCACACCTCCCCTTCAACTCCCATCCCCCCCCCCCCCCCCCACTCCACCACCCCCCCCCCCCCACACACACACACCTACACCCCCCCCCCCACACACACACACCCACCTACACCCCCCCCCCCCCACACACCCACCTACACCCCCCCCCCACACACACACACCTACACCCACCTAGAGTGTTTTGATGATAACACTCTAACTTACTGTAGTATGCGATGTCTGAGTGCTGCCAGCATAGCACAGTGTTGGTTGTGTTCACTTAGGTGTTCACCAGTTTGACGATGTTTGCCACACAGGTAAGCCATGTCACAACGAGGACATGCTGTGATGTTGTCCAGGTCATAGCAGACAAAACATGCCGCTACAGGTGGACACCATTCCTGTAGTGCAATGTGGTGATCAA